GAACCTGGGGCCTTTCATTTCCCAGGCCGATGCTTTTTCCCCTGAACCAAACCGTTTAGGGGGGGGCCTTTTTTTTTTTTTTTAAATTTTTTTCAAAAAGGAAGGGAGAGGGAGAGAAAGAGTTAGAAACCTCGGTGATGAGAGAGACTCATGGATCGGGCCCCTCCGGCATGCCCCCCTGTAGGGGATCGATACGCCCCGACCAGGAATCAAACCGTGACCTCCTGGTTCAGAGGTCGATGCTCAACCACTGAGCCGTGTCGGCCGGGCGAGACATTATTAATGCGAAGTGAAGGTTACAATCACCAGGTAGTCCTCAAGGGTGTGAAGAAGTAAAGATACCGCGGACCAGTTTTGCTCAGTGGCTAGAGCAGGGGTCCTCAAACTACGGCCCACGGGCCACATGCAAATACAAATATTATATTTGTTCCCGTTTTTTTTTTTTTTTTACTTCAAAATAAGATATGTGCAGTGTGCATAAGAATTTGTTCATAGTTTTTTTTTTTAAACTATAGTCCGGCCCTCCAACGGTCTGAGGGGCAGTGAACTGGCCCCCTGTTTAAAAAGTTTGAGGACCCCTGGGCTAGAGCGTCGGCCTGTGGACTGAAGGGTCCCAGGTTCGGTTCCGGTCAAGGGCATGTACCTTGGTTGCGGGCACATCCCCAGTAGGAGGTGTGCAGGAGGCAGCTGATCGATGTTTCTCTCTCATGGATGTTTCTAACTCTCTATCCCTCTCCCTTCCTCTCTGTAAAAAAATCAATAAAATATATATTTTTTTAAAAAAGAAGTAAAGATAAAGCCCACAGTCTAGCTGGGGAGACAGAAACCACGGGCACCATGGGAATGTTTCAGACAGGAGTCCCGCCATGTCCAGTGGGCGTCTCTGGTGAAGAAGTAGGTGGAGAAGCCGCCTCCAGGTCTGAGTTACCCTTTGGAGACCTGCCTCGGTCTCTCAGCCCCACCATCGTTTAATTTTCATAGGATCACACAGTGGGGAGAAACCTGAAAGGCCCTAAGCATCCATTCCCATGTGGATGGAGATACAGCCACCTCCTTCCTAGGAACGGTGGGAGGGCCACATGGTGAGGTAACATGCGAAGGGCCCGGCATCGGGAATGCAGTCCTTACACGAAGGCCCTTTCCGACGGGCCAGCCTCAGAGGCGTGGAAGTGGCGCTTTCCCGGAAATACCTAAAAGCGCTGCTTCTAGAATAAGAGGTGGGGGGACACCGCCATCCTCCCACGTGGGGCGTCCGATCTGCTGCAGGGCCCCTGGGAAGATGTGGCCACTTGTCTGGGTGACTGACTGCCTCTTGACTCGTCTTCGCAGAGAAACACGTTCCAGGCGGTCCTGGCCTCCTCCGGTTCCAGCTCCTATGCCATCTTCCTGTACCCCGAAGACGGCCTGCAGTTCACCTCGACCTTCTCCAAGCGCGACCAGAGCCAGGTCCCCGCCATGGTCGCCTTCAGCCAAGGGCTGGTGGGACGCGTGTTGAGCAGCGACGGGGCGTATAACATATTTGCTAACGACAGAGACTCGATCGGCAATTTGGCCAAGTAAGCGTCTGCCTTCGTTCTTCCGTAGACACCCCCTGAGAATAAGCATAGCCCGTGATTACCTTTTTTTTAAAATTAATATATTTTATTGATTTTTTACAGAGAGGAAGGGAGAGGGATAGAGAGTTAGGAACATCAATTAGAGAGAAGCATCGATCAGCTGCCTCCTGCACACCCCCTACTGGGGATGTGCCCGCAACCAAGGTACATGCCCTTGACCGGAATCGAACCTGGGACCTTTCAGTCCCCAGGATGACGCTCTATCCACTGAGCCAAACCGGCTAGGGCCTGTGATTATCTTATTAAGGATGATGTAATGGGCATCACAGAACATTCCCTAAAAAATTCCCTTGGGTTGTAGTGTTGGATATAGTTTTTCTATTATGTGGTACTTTTTATTTTTGTTTATTTTTGTTTTTTTTTAAATTAAATTTAATTTTTTTAATTTTTGTTTTATTGCTTAAAGTATTACAAAGAGTATTACATACGTCTCCTTTTTTTCCCCCCCTTGACAATCCCCTGGCCTCCCCTACCCCCCAGTGTCTTGTGTCCATTGGTTATGCTTATATGCATGCACACAAGTCCTTCGGTTGATCTCTTACCCGCCCCCTCCCGCCTCCCACCCTCCCTGGCCTTCCCGCTATAGTTGGACAGTCTGTTCGATGCTGCTCTGCCTCTGTATCTATTTTTGTTCATCAGTTTATAATGGTCTTTATTATCCATAAATTAATGAGATCATGTGGTGTTTTTCCTTCATTGACTGGCTTATTTCACTTAGCATAATGCTCTCCAGTTCCATCCATGCCATTGCAAATGGTAGGAGTTCCTTCTTTTTTACAGCAGCGTAGTATTCCATCGTGTAGATGTACCACCGTTTTCTAATCCATTCATCTGCTGATGGGCACTTAGGCCAATGATGGCGAACCTATGACATGCGTGTCAGAGGTGACACGCGAACTCATTTTTTTGGTTGATTTTTCTTTGTTAAATGGCATTTAAATATATAAAATAAATATCAAAAATATAAATCTTTGTTTTACTATGGTTGCAAATATCAAAAAATTTCTATATGTGACATGGCACCAGAGTTAAGTTAGGGTTTTTCAAAATGCTGACACGCCGAGCTCAAAAGGTTCGCCATCACTGACCTAGGCTGTTTCCAAATCTTAACTGTGGTAAATTGTGCTCCTATGAACATAGGGATGCATATATCCTTTCTGATTGGTGTTTCTGGTTTCTTGGGATATATTCCTAGAAGTGGGATCACTGGGTCAAAATGTTTGTTTGTTTTTTAATTGATTTTAGAGAGGGAGAGAGAGATAGAAACATCAATGATGAGAGAGAATCATGGATTGGCTGCCTCCTGCACGCCCCCTACTGGGGATAGAGCCCGCAACCCAGGCATGTGCCCTTGACCCAAATCGAACCCACGACCCTTCAGCCCTGCAGGCCTATGCTCTATCCACTGAGCCAGATCGGTTAGGGCAGAACGGGTCTTTAATCAGAGTAACACCATCACGGCTAACAGAGCGTGATGAATATTTCTTAGCATTCTAGCTGGTCCCCAAGAGTCTGTCGGTGCCCCTGGCATGATGACCACACATGACCCGGTCGGCTCTCCCGCCCTCCAGGCCCCTGGGTTTCAGATGGACACGGATCCCAGGGCTCCTTCTGTCCGGGGAGCAGGGCCTGTTCCCCAGAAGTCTGTCCTTTCTCGTAGGAGCAGCAACTCCGGGCAGCAGGGCGTCTGGGTGTTTGAGATCGGGGGCCCCGACACAGCCAGCGGCGTGGTGTCCTCGGACGTGATCCTCAGAGCGGACGACGGAGAAGACTACGACGATGACGAAGATTACGACTCGGTGACCAGTCTGGGCCCGGAGGACCTGGGCACCACCCCCTTCCCCCATGAGACCCCGAGGAGGGGAGACACCGGCACCACCAGGCACCGGGTCTTGTCCCCCAGCCGCCCGGCCACCGCCAGGCCCGCCAGGCCTCCCACCGAGAGGACCCGGTCCTTCCAGCTGCCCGGGGCCAGGTTCCCCCAGCAGCACCCGCAGGTCATCGATGTGGATGAGGTGGAGGAGTCGGAAGTCGGTAAGGCTGCCGCTGTTGCCGTGAGAATACTCTAGGACACAGGACAGGTGCTGGAGCGGGTCCGAGGTGTGCGTTCTGGGGTGGGTTGTGAGGGCGAGAGCTGGGAAGTAGGGGTGGGAGCTCACAGGTTCCTGGCCCGAGGATATTTTTCCATTGATTTTTTTTTAGAGAGAGTGGAGGAAGAGAGAGGGAAAGACAGAGAGAGACATCGATGCGAGAGAAACACATCGATGGGTGGCCTCCTGCACATGCCCCGACCAGGGCCCCGGGCCCCGGGAGGAGCCTGCAACCTGGGCATGTGCCCTTGACCGGAATCGAACCCGGGACCCTTTGGTTCGCAGGCCGACGCTCTATCCACTGAGCAACACCGGCCAGGGCCCTCTGGTCTGTTGTAGGGAGAAAGGGCTTTAGAAGTATTTTTGAAAGTCAGATTTTTCTTATTTGTGATTTCTGAGATCAGAAGTACACTCGGCCACCTGAAAAAACATTGTCGACGTTCCTTTGGCCGCGGACGTAGTTATCTTTGACATTTATTTCCTCTCGGCTTTGGCAGGAGAAGAGTTCATTATTCCCAGCTCCGGTTTGTTTCAGAGTCGGTTTGAGAAGATTTTAAAATACAGAAGAAGTAGATTCCCTCCCTTTTTTCCCCCCTGAGATCTCCCTTTTAAAGTGCACTATCTTCTAGTCAACTGTATTCTATGAGGTTTTTGCTACATTTTGAGGGAAAACCAGCACGCTTTGATTTGTCTTGTAAAAGAAGTCCAAGCTCAACTGTGTTCACTCATTTTTGCTCTTCAGGGTGACTTATAATCCATTGAGATTCCTGTAGATGGGATGGGCCAGGCCTTTAAATAATGTTTAGTAAGACTCTACTGCAGGGGTCCTCAAACTACGGCCCGCGGGCCACATGCAAATACAAATATTGTATTTGTTCCCATTTTGGTTTTTTACTTCAAAATAAGATATGTGCAGTGTGCATAGGAATTTGTTCATAGTTTTTTTTTTAAACTATAGTCCGGCCCTCCAACGGTCTGAGGGACAGTGAACTGGCCCCCTTTTAAAAAGTTTGAGGCCGAAACCGGTTTGGCTCAGTGGATAGAGCGTTGGCCTGTGGACTGAAAGGTCCCAGGTTCAGTTCCAGTCAAGGGCATGTACCTGGGTTGCGGGCACATCCCCAGTAGGAGGTGTGCAGGAGGCAGCTGATCGGTGTTTCTCTCTCATCGATGTTTCTAGCTCTCTATCCCTCTCCCTTCTTCTCTGTAAAAAAATCAATAAAATATATTAAAAAAATAAAATAAAATAAAAAAATAAAAAGTTTGAGGACCCCTGCTCTACTGTTTCTGTTACAAAGTTATCCATTCCACATAGTCACTCACTTTAAAAAATATATAGATTTTTTTATTGATTTCAGAGAGGATGGGAGAGGGAAAGAGAGATAGAAACCTCAATGATAAGAGAGAATCATTGGGGGGAAAAAAGAGAGAGAGAGAGAGAGAATCATTGATCGGCTGCCTCCTGCACGCTCCCTACTGGGCATTGAGCCTTCAACCTGGGCATGTGCCCTGCCAGGGAGCTTGTTACTATCTTCCAAGGCTTGGAAGTGGAGACGTTGGCCTGGCGTGTCCTGACCAGGAGGCGGGTCCGTGTCTCGGGGCTCCCCACCCCGCACCCTGGCTCTCCTGGGGTGATGCGGACATCCCTGCCTGCGTGGCGCTCCGCTTTTGCAGCTGGCTTCGGGGGGACAGCTCCCCAGATGTGTCGGGTTGTTTACTCGCAGCTGTGGCGATCTGAGCTGTCACCCGATCGAGGTGTCTCTGACATTCTCCCTCGCGGAGCCGTCCTGTTGAAATGCTATCCTATCTGACGCCAACAGCAACATATGGCGGTGCATTGCTCGGTATCAGTCCACGCCTAGATTTGAACCCGACATGTGCCTGAAACAGATGTTTCTCTGTCCCTCTATCTCGGTTATTTCGCTGTTTCTGGCGGGGAGGTCAGCCTTCCGCGGCCCGCCGTGCATTCCTGGCGTTATCTGAATAGTCACCCACAGATACGCAGGCCATGGGGACCCACTGGGCGCCGGGCCCTCAGCTGGAGTGAAGCAGGCTGCAGTCACGTGTGTTCAGCGTGGGGGCCAAGGGTTCCCGACGCCAAACGCCGCCTCTCCACACTGGAAATTTCCTCCGAGCGTCTGGGACGCATAGAACCTTCCTGGTTTAAACTTCACTTGTATCTTCACTCCGAACAGTCGGTTATAAACCGGATGGCTCCCCACTTTAAAAATCCACCCCCTACCTGTGCTTTTGAGCTTTCTTTCCAAATCAGTTTCCTCTGGATTGTGGAGTATAATGAGTCCGTTCCTAATTCTAACAAATTGAACCAAGGAGGTAGAATTTTAAAAGTAGGAAGAATTCTTTTTGTTTCTTGAGTGAAAGGAATTGAAGACGTCTTTTTAATCAGCTTTTTTTTTTTTAATCCTCATCCAAGGATATTTTTCCATTGATTTTTAGAGGAAGTGGAAGAGAGAGGGAAAGACAGAGAGAAACATAAATATGAGAGAAACACATCAATTGGTTGCCTCCTGCATGCACCCTGACCAGGGCCCAGGCCAGGGAGGAGCCTGCAACCGAGGTACGTGCCCTTGACTGGAATCGAACCCAGGACCCTTCAGTCTACAGGCCAACACGCTGTCTGTCCACTGAGACAAACCAGCTAGGGCTTAATCAGCTTTTGAGTATAAGAGCTTCTTAGTTATTGCCTGGAGAGAAGAGGCAAAATAATTTCAAAATACTCTGAAGTCATTAAAATGGGAAAATTAAAAAACAGTAAAAAAAAAAATACCTTAAGACCCCTTTAAAATGTGAAGCTGATCTTTTTGACTCGTTAGAGGGACACCAGATTGAGACAGCTGTCTGATGGGGTGACCTGAGACTGATGCAAATTAGAGCCCTTTTTAAAATATATATTTTTATTGATTTCAGAGAGGAAGGTGGGGGGAGAGAGAGAAGCATCAATGATGAGAGAGAATCACTGATCGGCTGCCTCCTGCACACACCCCCACTGAGGATCGAGCCCGCAACCCGGGAATCGCACCCTGACCTCCTGATTCATAGGTCGACACCCAACCACAGAGCCACGCCGGCCGGGCATATTAGAACACTTTTTGATCATTCACCTGTGATTTCTACACTCCTTGTAGCCCAGTGGTTCTCAACCTTCCTCATGCCGATACCCTTTAATACAGTTCCTCATGTTGTGGTGACCCCCAATTTCATGGTTACAAATTGAACATCATTAAAGCATAGTGATGAATCCCAAAAACAATATGTAATTATATATGTGTTTTCCGATGGTCTTAGGCAACCCCTGTGAAAGGGTCGTTCGACCCCCAAAGGGGTCGAGACCCACAGGTTGAGAACCGCTGTTGCAGCCCCATGTGCGTGGGGTGTGGCAGATGGAGCCACCACACCATTTACGTGGCTCCAGGCGGTGAGTCCGGACCCTGAGCCGCCTGGCCGAGTGTCATTATCCCTGCAGGGCTGGGGGGCCCCGTGTGACCCCGCTCCTGCCGCTGAGCCCCGAGACCTGCTCACAGGCGCCCTGTGCTTCCTCCGCAGTCTTCAGCTACAACACGGATTCCCGGCCCACGTGCGCCAACAGCCGACACCAGTGCTCCGTGCACGCCGAGTGCCGGGACTACGCCACCGGCTTCTGCTGCAGCTGCGTCGCCGGCTACACCGGGAACGGCCGGCAGTGCGTGGCCGAAGGTCTGTTTTCTGTGCTCATTCGTGGGCCGGGAGGAGGGAGGGCGGCCTAAATATTTTTATTGGTTTCAGGGAGGAAGGGAGAGGGAGAGAGAGAGAGAGAGAAACATTAATGATCAGAGAGAATCATGGATCGGCTGCCTCCTGCACACACCACACTGGGGATCGAGCTGCAACCCCGGCCTGTGCCCCAACCGGGAATGGAACCGTGACCTCCCGGTTCAGAGGTCGACGCTCAACCCCTGAGCCCCAAACTCCAGATTGGATCCAGCTGTCACTTGCGGACCAGGCAGTCTCTACGGGTCGTGAGAGCCCAGACACAGTTTACTCAGCGTGGGTCCCCGGGGAGCCCGGGGCCATAAACGCCAATGAAAACAAAAGCGACAGAAACCCCGCCGTACGGAACATTTGTCCCTTCGGATGCCAGATGACCTCACGTGTCACTGGCCGTTTTCTTTGTGTTTCGTGAGGAAAGGCAGTTGCTTCCCCAGGTTTGACTCAGTAAAGCTTGGAAGCACTTTCCTGTTTTTCAGATCCCCTGCCATCGCTGTTTTAATTTGCTAAAAAAACAAACAAACAGCAACGAACAGGAACCGTGTTCCCTTCTGGGTCCTAATTCAATCAAGTGAGGGTTGTTGTACTGACTTTGGCAACGAGAGAGAATTTTTGTGTCCGTGTGTTCATTAGGGGGGATGTTTTCAGCATCTGTAAACGTATTTCCTTCCAAATTGCACCGCCCAGGGGTGGTGTGCCTGAGCGTTGCGTGGGGCTTGGCTTGGATACCCTGGGAGAAGCTTCCAGAATCAGCAGCAAAACCTCCTTCCCCAGGCGCGGCCCCAGCGGCCTTTCCGGTGCCAAGCGTCCGAGCCGGGAATGCTGAGTGTGCTGGGCAGAAACTCAGATCGGACGAACCGTCCAGCCCCACGTTTTAACATCATCTACATGCCCTGGAGGAATCTCATGGTTTAATTATTGTGGGATTCTTGCTACTTTTCTAAAAATTTTATTGATTCCAGAGAGGAAGGGAGAGGGAGGGAGAGAGAGAAACATCCATGATGAGAGAGAATCACGGATCGGCTGCCTCCTGCACGCCCCACACTGGGGATGGAGCCCACAACCCAGGCATGTGCCCTGACGGGGAATCGAACCGTGACCTCCTGGTTCCTAGATCGACGCTCAGCCACTGAGCCACACGGGCCGGGCTTGCCTCTTGCGCTACAGGCCCAGGGCCTCTCCTGTTCTTCTCTTACGAAGGACTGGCGTCTCCCTTTGTTTCCCTCGCAGGGTCCCCCCAGCGAGTGAACGGCAAGGTGAAAGGGAGGATCTTCGTGGGGAGCAGCCCGGTCCCCGTGGTGTTTGAGAACACGGACCTGCACTCCTACGTGGTGATGAACCAGGGGCGCTCCTACACGGCCATCAGCACCATCCCCGAGACCGTGGGGTACTCCCTGCTCCCCCTGGCCCCTGTCGGAGGCATCATCGGGTGGATGTTTGCGGTGGAGCAAGACGGATTCAGGCACGGGTTCAGCATCACAGGTATTGACATCACCCGTTAAAGCCCATGGCCCGGGGGTGGGGGTGGGGGGCAAGGGAGATAGGGCCTGGGGATGAGTGGAAAGGGAACTCCAGGTCTAAGGACAACTCACTGACAAGCTTTTTGTTCTGGGAGAAAGACCTGGCGGTAAGAGGACCCGTATTCTTTCGTGAATAATATTTACGAATATTCTAAATAATATTTAAAATCCTGCTGGCCCGGCTCACCCATCCTAAAGCTTGGGAATTTCTCATTGTCCCTTTTCATCATGAGTTGAAATGCCCGTTTTCAGCACAAGCCCTCAGCCAACCCATCTCGGAGGCCGGTCTGTGGCTGGGAGGCGGCCTCTCTCTGCGGGTGACTCCCGTGGGGCCCCCTGGGTGCCCCAGCTCTGTCCTCGGGGGTCCCCAGCCCCGTTCCTACCAGCACCCCCTGAAGCACCCGCAGAGGAGGTGCGACTCCACGGCCCCTGACCAGCCCTGTGAGCCCAGGGCGGGCGCCGGGGTGGCTGTCCCTTCTGACGGCAGAGTGACCGAATGACCTTGCTTTCCAGGGGGCGAGTTCACCCGCCAGGCCGAGGTGACCTTCGTGGGGCACCCGGGCAAGCTGGTCATCAAGCAGCGCTTCAGCGGCATCGACGAGCACGGGCACCTGACCATCGACACGGAGCTGGAGGGCCGCGTGCCGCAGATCCCTGTCGGCGCCTCCGTGCACATCGAGCCCTACACGGAGCTCTACCACTACTCCCGCGGCGGTGAGGGCACCCCGGGGCCCGAGGCTCCCAGTGCCACCGGGACAGCCCGTCTCCTGGGCCGCAGAGAGCGAAACTCGGGCGACACCTTAGTAACATCGCCTTTCCCCACTACCAGACATCATATCACTCCCTCCAGAGAATTTATTATTTGTTATTTATTTACTTTAATTTTTATTCATTTCAGAGAGGAGGGGAGAGGGAGAGAGGGAGAGAAACATCAATGATGAGAGGGAATCATTGATCGGCTGCGTCCTGCACGCCCCACACTGGGGATCGAGCCCACAACCCGGGCATGTGCCCTGACCAGGAATCAAACCGTGACCTTCTGGTTCATAGGTTGACGCTCAACCACTGAGCCACGCCAGCCAGACGTCCACTAGCCTGTAATCTTTAGTTTGGCTCTGGGCAGCTTAGGAACTTAAAGAGAGGCACTTGATGGGGGAAAAAAGCAACAAATATTACTGATGCAAATAATACCCATAACGGTAGGGGAAATCCAGGTAGCAGAAGGAGTCCCCATTGGAAATAAACGGTCTTGCCCTGGCCGGTGTGGCTCAGTGGATAGTGTCTGCCTGTGGACCATAGGGACCCGGGTTCGATTCTGGTCAAGGGCACGTACCTTGGTTGCAGGCTCCTCCCCAGCCTTGGCCCTGTTGGAGGCACGTGCAGGAGGCAACCATTCAATGGATTTCTCTCCCATCGATGTTTCTCTCTGTCTTTCCCTCTCTCTCGCACTCTCTCGAAAAACCAGTGGGAAAGTATTCTTGGGTGGGGATTAACAACAACAACAAGAAATAAATGAATGATCTCATTGACCGGCTCCATTGCAGTCTCCCCTGGAAGCCTGGTGTCTGGGGGACCACCAATGGGATAGATCTGACCCTGGAGGAAGCCACCGCATCCTCATACCCTCTCCTTTCTCTCCCCACCCGTGTCCCTCCTGCATCCAGTGATCACATCCTCCTCCACGCGGGAGTACACGGTGACGGGGCCCGCGGCCCCTGCGAGCATCCACACGTACCAGTGGCGCCAGACCATCACCTTCCAGGAGTGCGTCCACGACGGGGCCCGGCCGGCCCCGCCCAGCACCCAGCAGCTCTCGGTGGACAGCGTGTTCGTCCTGTACAACCAGGAGGAGCGGATCCTGCGCTTCGCTCTCAGCAACTCCATCGGGCCTGTGCGGGGTGAGACACAGCTCCCACCGGCCCTCGTGCGCCTGCATCTCTGTGCTCTGGGCGTATTCTTTTTTAAAAAAATTATATATATATATATGTATTGATTTCAGAGAGGAAGGGAGAGGGAGAGAGAGAGAAACATCAGTGATGAGAGAGAATCATGGATCGGCTGCCTCCTGCACGCCCCCTACTGGGGATCAAGCCTGCAACCTGGGCATGTGCTCTGACCAGGAATCAAACCATGACCTTCTGTTTCATAGGTTGACGCTCAACCACTGAGCCACCCTAGCCAGGCATCCACTAGCCTGTAATTTTTCAACTTATTAATTGAATTGAACCATGACCTCCTGGCTCATAGGGTGATGCTCAACCACCGAGGCACGCCGGCCGGGCGTGATTTTTGTCAATTTCCGGCAAAATTGCCTTATGGCCTGTTCTGCTTGGGATCTGATGGGGAAGATGCTTCACTGGAGCATCCGCCAGCTGCTCCCCTGTCCCCGGACCACGGCCTCCACCCGCCTTCCTCTGTGGGGGGAGCATTCCGAGGACTCACTCTCAGTGTCTCTGTCCTCGCAGACGGCTCCCCGGATGCCCTGCAGAACCCCTGCTACCTCGGCAC